TAAATAAAGAAGAACACTCCCATTCTCATGTAACATCATTTTGAGTAGAAATGATGCTCTGAGTGAAGGCAATGGAAATAAGTCACTCTGACTTTTTTGGGTTATCCTAGGTTCTCTACACATATGTTATGTATGATAATCTATGTAACTGTATTTGTGTATACCTGAATAAACTTACATACATACGAAATGGAATAATTTTCTACAGTTACCCCCAGTAACACATTTCTCTTATGTTAGATTAGAGAAAATGTTATTCTTGGCATCACTTGTACAAGTTATCTGGCTACCACATCTCATATTTGTTTTTTTTTATTCTATTGTGGGTGTATTTATCATCTTTTATATGTTATGTATCGTGTTTATTATATAATTTTGAAAAAAATATCATGGATGGATTAATGAAAATGTGTATATTAACGTAATATACAACATTTAATGAGACTCGGTGATTATTATAATTATTATTATTATCATTTCTAATATGGCGTCACTTGTGCAAGTCGTCTGCTACCACATCTCATATTTATGTTTATTTATTCTATTGTGGGGTGTATTTATCATCTTTTTATGTTATGTATCATGTTTATTATATAATTTTGAAAAAATATCATAGATGGATTAATGAAAATGTGTATTTAACGTAATATACGACATTTAAATGAGACTCGATTATTATTATCATTACTAATATGACGTCTGGAGACATAAGACACTCTTACTGATTTTAATGTGTACCTGCATGCCAGCACAGTATGTAAGTTTATTTAAGTACAGGTATACATAAGTATAATTATCAGAGTATATATAAAATATGAAATAACTTTTAAAAACATTTGAAATTTTGGAGTTTCCAGACAAAATGGAGAGACTTAGTGCTTACTGAGCTCACGAAGAATGTAAACAAACAAGGTGGGGCGCGGTGACCGTATTAGAAAGTCAGGTGGGGGGGAGCCGTATAGCGAGTTTTGGTCATAATTTGAAATGACCGTACATATTAGCGGAACGCCGTAAAGTGAAACGCCATAAAGCGGGTCCCTGCTGTAATAATTTATTAATATACAGTGGACCCCCGCATAACGATTACCTCCGAATGCGACCAATTATGTAAGTGTATTTATGTAAGTGCATTTGTACGTGTATGTTTGGGGTCTGAAATGGACTAATCTACTTCACAATATTTCTTATGGGAACAAATTTGGTCAGTACTGGCACCTGAACATACTTCTAGAGTGAAAAAATATCGTTAACCGGGGGTCCACTGTATGTTTGTAGAAAGGAATAGTTTGGTGTACATGCCAAAAGCTCCTTTATATGCAAAACATTTTGGGCAAACTTAAGATTAATAAAGCAATAACAGTACATATGGTCATTAGGTGAGTTACAATAACTATTGGAGAATTTAATATTCTGTTGGGTTGTGCTATATGGCTTTAATAAGTTTTGTGGAGAAGAATTACAGTTTTGATTATTAACTTTAGGTGGACACAATGGAGTGATTAACATTTGAGATGAATACAGATATTGAGAGTAAGTATATATTGATTATAAAATTTTGCCAATTTCCTTGATATTGAGCAAATGCACGTATAGCTTTTATATATGTATTTAAGATGGGCTGGGATAGGTTGAGGAGGTAAGGTTTTTTTAACCCTTTGACTGTTGCAGGCCCCTTTCTGAAACTGTCATTCTATGTCGATAAATTTTTGGAAAAAAAATAAATTTTTTCTTATGAAATGATAGAGAATCTTTTCCCAATGGTAATGACACCAAAAGTATGAAATTTGTTTGAAAACTCAGGGAATTACGGTGACGTATACACATTGGCAATTTCGCCGACTTTGAGCCCTGTTTTTGGCCAATTCCATTGTTCCAGTTAACCAAACTCATAGCTATTTCTTTAGAACTCCAGTTTTTCTATCAGTTGAGTACAAGAAACTGCCCATTTACAGATTGAACTACCCAATAAAGTGGTCAGAAATTGGCAATTTGGCCAATTTCACACAAATTAAAAAAAAGCCAATTTCAAAATAGGGTCCAGAATAAACAATGTAGACATTCTTGGCACTAAAATAACATATCCTCTGTTCATTAGTCACATCTCTAGGCCCCTCTTATATTACTATTGCTTTCTATTTTGATTTTTTATTCATACAAAAAATACAAAATTTACTGTTATGCAGACTACTGCATTACTGTAAAAATGATATAAATAATATTAGACTCCCCAGTTGAAGTGTATTGGACGTGTGGTGTGATTTGCTTACTCCTGAACATTGGTAAAAATCTAACATTTTCGCTACTTTGAGCTCAATTTCAAGGTTGTTTTCATCGTGAAAGTTATCAAAATCATCTCTATTTCTGTAATATGTTTTCCATTTAATCACCTGAGACCATGAAAACGAGAATACAACAATAAATACTATACGAAAATACACCTCAAAGTCGGCGTTTTAATCCAACAAAATGGTCATTTTTTTTTTCTCATTACGCACTGCGTGCTGCAGGATTTTTTTTATGTGGTGCACACTGACCACACAGACCCATTCTTTCACATGTGGGCCTACCAGCTTTCTCCCGCTTGATTTGAAGCCGCTAGAATTTACGCGTATAAATACGTCAGAAATGGCCCGTAAGACGTATATATACGACCGAAACAGTCAAAGGGTTAACTGTAGTTTTAAAAATTATGCAGAGAATTTGTAGTTTTGAGATTAGGAAGAGGTGAAGTTACGAAAAGCATATCCAGAGGGCTGAGGAGGGGTTGAGGTGGATGGGTTAGTTATTTAGAGAAGATGGAGAAAAATAGGTTGACTTGGAAGGTTTGTAAATCAGTATTGGAGGAAAGGCAGGGTAGGGGGTCATCCTAGGGAAGGATGGAGGGAGAGGGGTAGAGGAGGTTCTGTGTTCAAGGGGCTTGGACTTCCATAAGCATGTATGAGCATGTTAGATAGGAGTGTGTGGAGGCAAATGTTTTTGGGGACCTGATGAGCTGTTGGAGTGTGAGCAAGATAACATTTTGTGAAGGGGTTCAGGGAAACCAGTTAACCAGACTTGAGTCCTGGAAGTGGGAAGTACAGTACCTGCACTCTAAACAAGCGGTGGGGATATTTGCTGTTTGTAGGGGCATCTTAACTGTTGTAACTGCATGCATCTGGCAAGACAGTGATAGTATGAAGGATGATTTTTTTTTTTTTTGTGGTCACCATACCTTGGTGGGAGATGGCCAATGTGTTAAAAAAGAAAAAAAAAATTCTCACACCTGAGGTTTTGTAAAGTAAATTAAGTCATAGCTTCAAGTGTTTGCCTTATAGCTGAATTACTTAATTGCATAGAACTACCTGACAACAATTTGTTTGCTTGTGTAACTGTTCTTCCATAGAATAATTTATTGATAGCTTTTTATCAAGTATCTTAGTGGGTTATTCTTTCCATATTAAAAAATGAAAGCATGATGATGTGTAGCTAAGCCCTGAAAACCCCGAGTGACTGAATGCCACTGCGTCCATCCATTTCTCATATATTATTTTTTAGAGACCACCACTGAATTGTTTTTTTTTTTATTTTCTGCTAAATTGCAAGGCACACATTTATGACTGAATGCAACTTTCTTAAACTCTGTTAAAAATAATTGTTATTATCTACTGTTTTTAACCCTTTCAGGGTCCAGAGGTCAAATTTCAAAGGGTGCACCAGTGTCCAAGAATTTAAAAAAAAATAATTTTGTTATTTTTTCTTAAGAAATAGTAGAGAATCTTTTTCTGAAGGTAATAAAGCAAAAAGTACTGAATTTGATGGAAAATTTATGAAATTATGCTCTCGCGAATTTTGATGCGTCAGTGATATTTACGCATAGGCGATTTTGCGGACTTTGACTCCCATTTTAGGCCAATTACATTATTCCAGCTGACCAAATTCTTAGCTATTTCACTAGTGTTACTTCTATTCTATTGATTGAGCACAAGAATTTGCCAAGTCAACTGTTTCAACTACAAAATATTGATTGGAAATTGGTAATTTGGCCAATTTAATGCAAAGTTCAAAATATTCCAATTTCAAAATAGGGTCCAGAATAAACAATGCAGGCATTCCTGGCACTAAACTAACATTTCCTCTGTTCATTAGTTACATTTTCAAGCTTTACTAATGAATTCCATTTTGATTTTTTTTCACATAATGAATTTTTATTCAAACCAAAAAACAGAAGATTTACTTTTATGCAATATTGTAATAATTGTATAAATAATATCAGCACATTTGTGAGCATATATTAGACCCACCAGCTGGCGTGTATTAGACGTGTGAGGTCATTTGTTTACTCTTGAACATCGGCAAAAATTTAACATTTCCGCTACTTTGAGCTCAGTTTCAAGCCATTTCCACTACTAAAACCAATCAAAATCATGTCTATTTCTGTAATATATCTTCCATTCTATCAAATGAGACCAAGAAATCGCAAATACAACTATAAAAAACATACGAAAAAACACTGCAGAGTCACTGTTTTAATAGAAAATTAGTCTGTTTTTTTTTTCTCTCATCATGCACTATGTGCTGCAGGATTTGTTTTATGTGGTGCACACACACACACCACATGGATGTATTCTCTCATATCAAAGCCATAATTTGCCACTCATAGCTTATCAGAGTGAGCTGAGCTTACGTAGATCTACGGTTTGGACCCTCAACGTAAAGCTGTAGGTCTATGGCACGGACCCTCAAAGGGTTAAATTCCTTGATATTGGTGAGAGGCTCTTGATACAGTGCCTGCACTCTAAAGGAGGGATGGGGATATTTGCTGTTTGGAGGGATATCTAAACTTTTGTATCTGCACACCTCTGATAAGACTGATTGTGTGAATGATGGTGAAAGTTTCTTTTTTGGGGTCACCCTACCTCAGTGGGAGATGGCTAGTGTGTTAAAAAAATAAAAGTGTACTCAAAAAATTAATTCTCTACATTTATTGACATTAATCAGAAAGCTTTTGCATTTTATTACAGCTCAAAGAATCAGAAGCTCGTCGATTCTTCCAGCAGATTATATCAGGGGTAGATTATTGTCATCGTCATATGGTAGTGCACAGAGATCTCAAGCCTGAAAATCTCCTTTTGGATCACAATCTTCATGTGAAAATAGCAGACTTTGGTGAGTATTAATGTAGTATTTTTGTCAGAATAATTTCTTCACTGTATATACATAGTAGTAAATTACTCAGTAATTCATTATGCAGTAGTAAATATACAGTAGCAGATTATGAAATGAAAAGCAATACAATATGTAGAAAAAAATTCAGAGAATTTTCTTTTTAATGTGATATTCATATTCAGTAATGTTTTTCAAAATTTAGTATGCACTTGGGATTTATTGTTGCTGGGCTTAGTCTCAGCACCTGGCCCTGTCACTGCTGCTCATGATGGGTTAATTGCTATTCCTGGCCTCATGGGTCTTAGCTTTTCTTAAAACTGTATGAAATCTGCTTCCACCACATCCTTATCCAGATTGTTCCACTTCCTTACTGCTTTCAGACCGAAATACTATTTTTTTATATTCTTGTGACTTATTTGTCTTTATTGTTCATTTATTCTTTCATGTTTTCTGGTCCCTCCTTTCAAACTGTCTTTCCCCTATCGAGTCCTCAGAGTATCTCATTTGCTCATATCACATCTCCCTTGATTCTCCTATCTTCTAGCTCCTTCAGTCTTAAATTATGTCCTTCATCTTACCTCACATTACAGTATACCATATTGTGCAAGACCAAAGTCATGTGGATTGTCGTTTGTACGTACAGGTCCGCCATCACAAATCCGGCAATCAGTTATTCAGTTTGTTCAGTTATTCGGCACTAATTTTGGCTACCATAATTTCAAATTTCCAGGGTCGCCACACCAACCTGCTGGTACTGTTTGGTAACGCTAGTTGCTGCATAAGTCATTCCAATTTCTTTTTCTCCATTTATTGTTTTAACCTGCTTACTTTTAGCCCTAGCCACGGTTCCAATGAATAAAAGAAATGCTTCTCATTATGTAAAGCACCGACACAGTACATTATCCATTAAAGATAAGGTGGCTTTGAAGCCACTGTCGGTTGTCATGAACTCAGTCTCGTGAAGCAGGAGAATATGCTTTATTATTATGCTAATATCAACACTACAGTTTATTTGCTTATCACAATTGATCTAATATGACATAATAAACAATATAAATAACATAAAACATGTTAAATACTCCAGAATAAATAATATTTGGCATAACACCGAGCAGTTTGACAGAGGTATGAAGAGGATATGGTATACAAATACCATTCTCCTATCCTTGTCTTGGTGGCTTATATTAGAGAAAACGGAGGATAGCACAGGGCTAACTGTGATATACACTCATACTGCACCATAAACATGGAACAAAAGATTTCTCTATATAGATAATCACACATAGCAGCATATGTGTAGAGAACCTAGGATAACCCAAAAAAGTCAACGTGGCTTATTTTTAGTACCTGGCTTGGGTTAGCCATATATGATTTTTGGTAAATATTCGATTCCCAGCCAGGGTAGAAACATTAAGCGTGTTTCTTTACACCTGTTGTCTATGTTCACCCATCAGTAAAATGGGTACCTGGGTGTTAGTCGACTAGTGTGGGTGTTATCCTGGGACACTGGGCTAATTTTCTTGAAATACTTAGCATAACAAGCGGCTTTCTATACAGTAGTATGTCACTGATGTCAGCTAGGCTTGTATACCTTGTACATCTACGTGTAGTAAATAAAGATATTATTATTATATTATTTTTTTTTTTTTTCAACAAGTCTGCCGTCTCCCACCGAGGCAGGGTGACCCAAAAAAGAAAAAATCCCCAAAAAGAAAATACTTTCATCATCATTCAACACTTTCACCACACTCACACATTATCACTGTTTTTGCAGAGGTGCTCAGAATACAACAGTTTAGAAGCATATACGTATAAAGATACACAACATATCCCTCCAAACTGCCAATATCCCAAACCCCACCTTTAAAGTGCAGGCATTGTACTTCCCATTTCCAGGACTCAAGTCCGACTATATGAAAATAACCGGTTTCCCTGAATCCCTTCACTAAATATTACCCTGCTCACACTCCAACAGATCGTCAGGTCCCAAGTACCATTTGTCTCCATTCACTCCTATCTAACACGCTCACGCACGCTTGCTGGAAGTCCAAGCCCCTTGCCCACAAAACCTCCTTTACCCCCCTCTCTCCAACCCTTTCGAGGACAACCCCTACCCCGCCTTCCTTCCCCTAAAGATTTATATGCTTTCCATGTCATTCTACTTTGATCCATTCTCTCTAAATGACCAAACCACCTCAACAACCCCTCTTCTGCCCTCTGACTAATACTTTTATTAACTCCACACCTTTTCCTAATTTCCACACTCTGAATTTTCTGCATAATATTTACACCCACATTGCCCTTAAACAGGACATCTCCACTGCCTCCAACCGTCTCCTCGCTGCTGCATTTACCACCCAAGCTTCACACCCATATAAGAGTGTTGGTACTACTATACTTTCATACATTCCCTTCTTTGCCTCCATAGATAACGTTTTTTGACTCCACATATACCTCAACGCACCACTCACCTTTTTTCCCTCATCAATTCTATGATTAACCTCATCCTTCATAAATCCATCCACCGACACGTCAACTCCCAAGTATCTGAAAACATTCACTTCTTCCATACTCTTCCTCCCCAATTTGATATCCAATTTTTCTTTATCTAAATCATTTGATACCCTCATCACTTTACTCTTTTCTATGTTCACTTTCAACTTTCTACCTTTACACACATTCCCAAACTCATCCACTAACCTTTGCAATTTTTCTTCAGAATCTCCCATAAGCACAGTATCATCAGCAAAAAGTAACTGTGTCAATTCCCATTTTGAATTTGATTCCCCCAAATTTAATCCCACCCCTCTCCCAAACACCCTAGCATTTACTTCCTTTACAACCCCATCTATAAATATATTAAACAACCATGGTGACATTACACATCCCTGTCTAAGACCTACTTTTACCGGGAAGTAGTCTCCCTCTCTTCTACACATCCTAACCTGAGCCTCGCTATCCTCATAAAAACTCTTTACAGCATTTAATAACTTACCACCTATTCCATATACTTGCAACATCTGCCACATTGCTCCTCTATCCACTCTATCATATGCCTTTTCTAAATCCATAAATGCAATAAAAACTTCCCTAACTTTATCTAAATACTGTTCACATATATGCTTCAATGTAAACACTTGATCTACACATCCCCTACCCACTCTGAAACCTCCTTGCTCATCCACAATCCTACATTCTGTCTTACCTCTAATTCTTTCAATTATTATTATTATTATTATTATTACTATTATTATTATTTATTATTTATTATTATTATTATTATTATTATTTTCTTCAACAAACCGGCCGTATCCCACTGAGGCAGGGTGGCCCAAAAAGATAAACGAAAGTTTCTCTTTTCAAATTTAGTAATTTATACGGGAGAAGGGGTTACTAGCCTCTTGCTCCTGGCATTTTAGTCGCCTCTTACAACATGCATGGCTTATGGAGGAAGAATTCTGTTCCACTTCCCCATGGAGATAAGAGGAAATAAACAAGAACAAGAACTAGAAAGAAAATAGCAGAAAACCCAGAGGGGTGTGTGTATATATATGCTTGTACATGTATGTGTAGTGTGACCTAAGTGTAAGTAGAAGTAGCAAGACATACCTGAAATCTTGCATGCTTTTGAGACAGAAAAAAGGACACCAGCAATCCTACCATCATGTAAAACAATTACAGGCTTTCATCTTACACTCACTTGGCAGGACGGTAGTGCCTCCCTGGGCGGTTGCTGTCTACCAACCTACTACCTAGTATTATTATTATTATTATTGTTATTATTATTTTATTATTTTCTCAGTTGTTTGTTAGGTTATCTTCTTCAAACTTGGGCAATGTATGATGGAAAGATACTTCTTAACATAGACCAAAAATGAAAGAAATCAGACCATAAATAGTGAAGTTCACTTCTCAGCCATTAGCGGCCACTTAGCGGTATATTTTTGTATGGTTTTTATGGTTATATTCTCATTTTTTTGGTCTCATTTGATAGAATGAAAGATATATTACAGAAATAGATATGATTTTGATTGCTTTCATGACGAAAAGTACCTTGAAATTGCGCTCACAGTAGCGGAAATGTTCTTCTATTCTTTAGCGAATCTCGAGAGTAAACAAATGACGTCACCGTCCAATACCTGTCCGCCTGTCAGTCCAAATTCCAATATGCAATCAAGAATGGATGGACATTATTTATATAATTATTACAATAATGCAGCAGTCTGCATAACAGTAAATCTTCTATTTTTTGTGTGAATAAAAATTCCAAATGGTAAGCAAGAGTAATATAAGAGGGGCCTGTAGCAGTGACTAATGAACAGAGAAAATGTTATTTTAGTGCCAGGAATGTCTGCATTGTTTATTCTGGACTTTATTTTGAAATTGGCATCTGTTGAAATTTGTGTGAAATCGGCCAAACTGCCAATTTCTGACCACTTTATTGGGTAGTTGAAGTAAGTGAATGGGTGGTTTGTTGTACTCAGTTGACAGATTAGAAGTAAATAAGTTTATTCAGGTACATATACACAAATACAGTTAAATAGATTATCATACATAGCAGTGTATGTATAGAGAACCTAGGATAACCCAGAAAAGTCAGACAAAGTGACTTATTTCCAGTACCTGGCTTGGGCTTGCCATATATGATTTTTGGTAAATATTTTTTTTTTCTTGGTTGTTTGTTGGGCTTTCTCATTGAAACTTGGGCAGTGTATGATGGAAAGATGCTTCTTAACGTACAACAAAAATAAAAAAGACTGACGATAAATAAGGGAATTAACTTCTCAGCCATTAGCCACCTCTTTGCAGTATATTTTTGTATGATTTTTATGGTTGTATTCTCATTTTTTTGGACTCATTTGATAGAATGGAAGATATATTACAGAAATAGACATGATTTTGATTGCTTTCATGACGAAAAGTACCTTGAAATTGAGCTCAAAGTAGCGGAAATGTTCAGTTTTTTGCCGATGTTCAATGAACTTTGTGTAAGTCAAGTT